ATCTCTCAGCTCTCTACAAACTCCTGATTCTCGGCTGACCATCAATACTGCTCAAACTACCCTCTTGACTACCGGGCAGCAGTTTCATTTGTATTTTATATTGTCCAAACACAATATAGCACCACCCATCTTCAAGCTTTGGATACTCTTTACAAAGAGAAAACCATCGTATAATGGAATCAGTTCCTCCACTTTACTCAGTTAGTACGTTGCCAGTTTTGAAATGTTTATGAGCGAGGTGTGATACCTGAAACAAACTCGCAAAGATCAGGTGTGCCTTTTCGCGTATAGGCAAAATAAAAGTCGTTCCTATCAGCTCCGCGGCATCCGGGGGGTAGTACCTTTGCGTTTCGTCTGTGAGCTCCCAGCTTCAATCTTCATTTTGTTCAATTAATTCGCATTCCGGACGAGAATCCATCAGGTCGAAGCATCTATACGGTGCTTCACAACAGTTCACTTCGTAGTTTACCTGCTGTTTACACGAGACGTTCACAATATGATCGAATAACACACTTTATTGAACTCAGGACTAGCGGTCGTTACTTTTCCCGTGCCCGAATGATTTAAATATACGAACACGGGGTGCCTCGTATTGGTTGAGCTGTATTCGCAGTCCGTCCTACATCCTCCCATGTTGCACCCACAATTTACGACGATCCGTCTTTTGTTCTTCTCAATTAGTCTGATCAGAAACAGGATCAGGAACGTTAGCTAGTGAAATATATCACTGCGATGAAAAAATGTCATAGCTCCCGCAAACCGCTCTGGCAATATGTAGCCACTAATGCGAGATTTCGCGTGACGTTGAACGAGACGAAACATTTCCCCGAAAGATCAGACCCATGTATGAGCAACCATGAGCCGAAACAAGAAAACTGTTCGCATTCGAAGTGTATAAAACGAATTCATAAACTGGGGATTGGCATAACTTACTGGTAGGAGTCAATGGCAAGCTAAAAAGGGTATGGAGTAAGTGATACAGATACACCAGTTAGTTACACATTTATCTGGTAGGAAACATAATTTGAATGAAAAAAACATGATCAAAGTACTTCCTTTCAGTTACCGCTACGTCGAATAAAGGGCGTAATAAGGCACCTGGGTAAAATGGTCGAGAGAATCATGCCAGGATTATATCAGCAAGGATTATTAATTATTTATGTACTACTCACCATAATGATAAAAACTAACGGTTTCGGTCAATATTGTATCATTTATACAAATATATAGACGTAGAGAACCTACTTTCCAGACCGATTGTCTGATATTGTTTTTGTTTTTTTTAAACTCAGCGGGTGCAAGGTTATTGCAGCAAAAAATTGTTGCCATTTTATTGAGGCTTTTGAAAAGCTTTATTCTAGCGTACTATTCAGTACCCCGGTTATTTACAATCGGAAATCAATAAACCATTTAACAACTGGGTGAACTGTTTCCAATTTGGTTCAGAATACCGCACACATCTTTTTAAAAGTGTTCAATTTAGAGGAGAATGGTTACAATTTTGAACTCTCTCCTTCTTTTGCGTTGTTGATGAACACAAAACTCCTTATCTACAGGATGTAAACGTATCTTGTTCAGATGGTTTTACGTGGTATACAACTTTTGGGTTTTGAATCAACAGTACAAAACAACGGGTGATCTGCTTATGAAGCTCAATAAAATTGAAACGTTACTAAGACCGTGCCAACTTATTAAGGTATACATTACCACCATACATCTGCTTTTCAATATTCCGAAAGACTGATTCAAATGAGTTTTATTGAAATATCGTTAGATTCCTATTTGTATTCTCTCACATCACACATGTGAATTAACAGACAAAACTGATTGTTGCTCATTGACTGACGGAGGTGCGATGGTCAGTTGCACGAGCAGAGACAGAATGTGAGAACAGAGAGTTATAATAATTGGGTTTTTAACTAAAAGCTGTTAAACCTGCATTGTATCAGCTCCGGCTAATCTTTTTTCCATTGTATCCGGATGGGTAGAT